CACATCTTAAGAGGGACGCACACCCGACATCCCAAAACATTTTTTTTATCTGACTTGAAGAGGGAACAGACTTCCCTCTTCAAGTCAGATTTTCTGTTTGCCAAGATGAAAAAACAGAAAAACACCAACTTACAAAATAATACAAACACATCTTGTTTATTTTGGAAATTATTATGGAATTATAAAATATCAGCTAAGTCAGCCATGCACAGCAATATGGACTCAACAGGTTCTCAACCTTTATCCATCAACAAGAAAATGCAGCTCCAACTTAAATGAATCTGCCTATGACCAAAATCAAATAAGTTAGTAAAGAATCCTAAGGGAGTAAATCATGATAATCTAATAAAATTAAAATAACTCAAATTGGCGAAAAAGTTAAATCTATTATATGTGGTTCACATAAGATCACTTTCTTCAAAAAGTCTATTAGTTAATGACTTTATTTTTGATAATAAAATACATTTATGTTGCCTTTCAGAAACATGGCTGCAGCAAGAGGATTAAGTGAGCATAAACGAAGCAACTCCCTTTAGTTATGTAAATTTTCATATACCCACAAATTCTGGGCAAATAGGAGTAGTAACAATCCTTCAGTCTGACTTACTGACTTACTGGTTATTTCAAAGTCAGTTAATAACAAAACCATTTTGTATCATCCACCAGGTACTCACCTCTCTTCGTTGGGTTCCTGTTAAACACAGAATGTAATTTAAAACAGAGGTGTCAAGTAACCAAGTACAAATACTTTGTTCCTGTACTTAAGTACAGTTTTTAGGTATCTATATTTTACTCTTGGCTTTGGTTTTATGTTTATAAATATTTATTTCACGTCATGTGCGCCATCCAATGCAGATCATTGGCACCATCCACATCTAGTAATCATCAGAAGCAAGCAGGTGTTCTTCAAACTGCGAACGCGAATTGTCTACGCCATGCTACAATGTCGGATTCAGAAGATGTTGAAATATGTTGAAATGTCTAAAAGTTCGGAAACACTGGTGATACCAACAAGACCTCCCTCATCCTTGGCCCTATCTCAAAGAATTTTTGAAATAGTCAAAAAATTTTGCTTTAAAATAGTGGCATCTGGCTGTTTTTTTTTTTAAAGGTTACTTTATACTTTTATACTTTAAGTAGTTTTTGGAGAACATACTATTTCACTTTTACTTGAGTAAAGAGGTCAAATTGATTCTTCAAGTTTTACCAGGATGTTAATAAACATTCTGGTTAAAGTTGAAGCGAAAACATGCTGGCCCCCTCCTGGCCCCCTGGTACATTTGGTCTAGATCCGCCACTGTTCCTCACCTTCACTAGATGTGGA